AATGCTCAAAAGATTTATTTGCATTTCAGTTTTCCTTCTGTTCCTTCCAGATCTCCTCCTTGCTTTTCTCATGGTCTAGCTGTATTTACATAAAAATCTATCTTTCCTCGCTTTGTTTTTCACCCATTTCAGCCCTGCCCAGCTCTGTACCTTCATCTGCAAACTCCTCTAGGCATCCTGGAGCCCGGACACAGCTGAGATGGGGCAAATTTTTTAGTTTGCAGGAGTTTGAAGGGCTTTTAAAATTAGGCATATGCCTCTCCATCCTCACCTGGTCCCAGGGGCTCCTTTTGTCCAGATCAATTTTCCATGCAAGCGCATGCTAGCCGCCAGTGTGCCATCCCATGGTGGGCGTGGGTTTGGGTAGTTTTCTATGCAACTTGTGTGGTCAGGAAACCTCCTTTCTGAGCTCTTTTAAAAAGCAGGATCACCCCTTGCAGGAGCAGCCCAGACCTAACTGATCTGCCCTTGGGCTGTGTGTTGCCAGATAAGGATGTGAAGGACATTCCTATCCCCCCTGGCCAGTCATTCACCTACAGCTGGAGGGTCACCACTGAGGATGGGCCAACGCAGGCAGATCCTCGCTGCCTCACCCGTTTCTACTACAGCTCCATCGACCCCGTCAGAGACACGGCCTCAGGCCTGATTGGGCCCCTCCTGATCTGCTTTAAGAAGTCCATGGATCAGAGGGGAAATCAGGTGGGTCCTTTCTTTGTCACCTCAGCTGCCAGGCTAAAAGGCTGGAATAACAGCGGTGGGTGAAATATTTGGGTAAAAATAAATTCATCTGTCCTGTTCTCTTCAACCCTACCATCAGTCCCAATGCCCCTGCCTTCCCCATCCTCCCTTGCATGCTCCCTTCTCTCCAAACCTGGACCCTAACTCCAGTGAAATAGCAGTAAACTGTTCCCTATGCATCCAGGCTAAGACCCTGGGCCCCGGGAGTGCTCTGATCAGACCAGGAATAACCGCTTCCCTCTCCGCCTTCCAGATAATGTCAGACAAGACGAGGTTGGTGCTGTTTTCAGTCTTTGATGAGAACCGCAGCTGGTACCTAGAGGAGAATATCAGGCGGTTCTGCACTGACGCAGCTCATGTGGATACCCAGGACCCCCAGTTTTATGCCTCCAACGTGATGCACAGTGAGTGCTTGGCCAGGGACTCCCTGCAAAGCCCCAGCAGACATGGGCTTATCCCTGCCCCAGGGAACAAGCAGGGAACGTGCAGCAGCTCAGCAGCCATGGGGGAATCAGGTCCTCATGAAATGTTTCACCCTTGCTCTCTTCCAGCAATTAACGGCTTTGTGTTTGACAACCTCCAACCAAAACTCTGCCTGCATGAAGTTGTGTACTGGTATGTCCTGAGTGTTGGGGCCCAAACAAATTTCCTCTCCATCTTCTTCTCTGGAAACACATTCAAGCACAACATGGTCTTTGAGGACGTGCTTACCCTTTTCCCATTTTCTGGAGAAACTGTCTTCATGAGTTTGGAAAAGCCAGGTTAGTAACATGGGCTATTCTATAAACCATGGGCTTGGCATCACAGCAGAGATAAGTGAGCACCTCCAGCCAGGTCCCTGGTACCCGATCACATTTTGGCAGCCCTGAGAGCAAAGGGATGCACAACCTGCTGGAACAGCAATGATTAAATCCTTCCAAAGCTTAAATCAAAGGAATTAAATTACTGTATTTTACCTCATTAATATAGGGTGCATTAAGGTCACACAAGCTGCCAAGTCAGTAAGCTGGCTGCAGTAATGTGAGCCCCATGGACGTTGCATCTGCACCCTTGCCTCCAAGCTCAGAGGTCAAGGGGAGCAGCAGTGTTGTCCCTGCTGTGGGTTCAGCTGCTGGTCACAGCATCCCATTTATCTCTACACCTTTGCAAGGACATAAATAGCAGCCACGGAGGAGTCCTAGGAAGGATTTGCTTCAGCGTTCAGTTTTATTTCCCACCACTCAGCATTTTTTCCTTAGCATTTGCAAAAGCAGTGCTGTTAACCATTTCCTCACTCACAGAGGAAACACAGAATTTACCAGGTGATTACAAACACCGATATGATGGTCACGAGTGCTGCATCCTGACCCGAGCTGACAGGGTTTCTAGATACCTCAGGAAGCTTTCTAAAGCCCAGGCAAACATTGCATCGGTTTGAGCTCTGATTATTGCCTGCTGATCTGAAGCAAGCAAGCAGCTCAGCCAGCAGCAGATAACAGCTCTCTCCAGCATCAGAGCCTGGTTATTATACACCTCCTCACCCACTCTTGGCACCTGGAGAAGAGGCACTCACTACAGGGAGCAAACACATTGGCCAGGGATGTGAGCAAGAGGCAGTCTTTCCATTTTTTTCTCCTTTAGTGGGAGAGACGTGACGACTGCCTGGGGGAGAGGTGAATTTGACAGCAGCAGCATGTCTTTTGGGGTGGATTATGGTGATTACTCTGCTACTGGCAATAATCCTGGAGGCTCTGTGGGTTCTCAGTGCATTAACTGTTCTCACCAAGCTATTGCTGGGGCATCACAGGTGTGTGTAGCTCACCAAGCTCTGGCAGGAAACACCGGCCCTGCTGATGGTGCTTGTCAGGACTGGCTCTGATGTTACCAGCAACCCTGATGTCTTGTAAGTCCAGCTGTAAGATACTCTACAGATTATGAAAACATGAAATCACTACCATGAACCAGAGGCTGCCTGAAAATATAGGTTGCACTAGCAAGCGAGTGGCTTGGGGATGGCAGCTCTTCTGACTTCCCATTGTGGTGGGCTGATGGTGTCCTCTTGTTCTCTCGAGACAGGCGTCTGGACGCTGGGGTGCCTGAATCCTGATTTCAGAGACCGAGGGATGCATGCCAAGTTCACAGTCTTGCAGTGCCAGCCTGAGCAATACCCTGATGGGGAATATTATGTGGGTTCTGAAGAGGAGGAGGAGGACGCCTTTGACTTCCAACCCAGGGGCTTCTCTAAAAGAAAGAGATGGCGGAGGCCATGTGTGAATGAGCAACTGAACAACATGACCTCTTCCAGAAATGAGACACAGAAGCCAAGATTGTGCTTGACAGAACCCAGCCATGGGGCCTTCCCGAGCAATGGCAGGATTTCTGATTCCTCTTCCAGTGGCACAACACTTTTAGGAACAATCCCAAATCCACCTGATATTTCCATGTCTTCTCTGCTAGAGAAAAACTATGAATCAGTGCCCTATGAATTCTTCCTGAAAGATGAAGAAGAATTGTCAGAAATCATCAGAGAGGATGAAGGGCTTGGAGCTCTCCCACATGGAGAACACTTAGCGAGTGTCAGTGGAAGGGTTCATGGTACTGTGAGCTCAGAAGAAGGTCAGCAATGGCTGCACCAAGCCACACCAGCTCCAGAAGACGCTCTGGCAGAAAAGAAGGTGACAAAAGTCTCAGAGGTGCAGGAGCCAGTAAAAAGGACAATGGTCCAGTCTGGTCATACGTTAGAGATCCTGGAAGCAGAGCCTCAAAAGACAACTACTCCTGTAACAAGCTTGTGGGACTCAATTGCTTATGCTACTAGAAAAGCTCCTCTTCAAGAGAACAGGAGCTCATTTCACCAGAATGACCTGGAGCTCAATGAAGGACTTCAAGACATGTCTTCACAGGGTGCTGAGGACAAGTTGCTAAGAGGGGCTGATAAAATATCTTTAAATCTACACGAGTCAAAGGAGACAATCAATACAGAACCAGCTTTAAGTACTGATCATAACTCCTCCTCCACACTGGGCAATCTTTCTGCATCTTCAGAAGACAACAGGACTTTTCATGCAGTGGTTCACAGTCACACCAGAGAAAGCAATTATTCATCAAATGAGCTAGATGATAGGCTGGAAAAAAGACCTCACCAAGTGGTTTCACAAGGCTTTTATGAGTCTTTTGAAGGGAAAAATTTTTCTTTCTCAGACCTGGGACCCAGCACACTGGCACAAGAACAAATCCTCACAGATGAAAGTAACTCCTTGCCTGCAAAAAGTGGCACAGAACAAGAAGCCAGTGAACTTGCCAAAGGCACAAGCCTTCTAGAAACCACCTTTGCACACACCAATGACCTTGAGCCTTCCAGCTATATAACGATGGAAGAGAGGGATGAATTAATCTTGGAGGCAGTGTTTCAGGATGCTACAGCCGCTAAGGAATTACCAGAGATGGATAGTTTTGCCTTTCCTGAATCGAACGTCATGGCCAATGACACAAGGCAGTTCCCAAATGCTTTTTTAAACAGCCCTGAGCAGTTTCTGAGACACAGAGCTTCAGCCCCAAGCGTGAGTAGCCATGACTGGAGAGCTCGACAAGCCAGGTCACTGGAGAGCAGAGTCTTGATGCATGGTCTGGGTCTTCCCAACACCAGTTGGCCTGGCAGCAGGGAGCCCCTGTCTGAGGGTACTAGAGCAGAGCAGGATCTGGCCAGCCAGACCCCTGAGACAGCAGTGAATAAGAAAGCCCCAAAGGCATGTGGACCTCATTCCCATTTTTGCAGCACTCACTTCAAAAAGAGGTCCCTCATATCAAGCAACACTTTGCCTAAGGTGATGGTGGCCCAGCAAAGCCTAGAAGAAAAATCAAACATGGTTGAGGGGAGACTACACCCGGGCAGGGATGCTCCACAGGCTCTGCTTGGAGGTAGTGCTAATGAGACGCATCCTGAGGGGAAGCCAAGCACAGATGGGGGTGTAGAGAGCAGCAGTAAGGGGGTCCAGTGCAGCGGATGCTCCTTCCTCACACGTGGAGCACTGGGGAGTGAGGCAGCGATGGCAGCAAGCAGCTCAGAAATGCAGACTGCTGCTGTGGCTACAGGTCTGGCCTCAAACTGGGACCTGGTCTCCCTGGGTGCAGCGGGACACACCGCGGGCTTGCGGAGCCCAGCTTTGGCTGAGCTGCAGCCGGGTAGAAGTGCTGTCTGGGGGGCTCCTGGGAGCAAGCAAGCTCAGGGGAGAAGCCAGATGGAGGAGACAAACTCCGTGGAGCAGCTGGGTCAATTCAGTCCTCAGCCTCAGCAGCTCAAGGCCAATGCCATGGAGGACTATGTGCCTGAGACCATGTCTGGGCAAATCTCAGAAGAAATCCCTATGAAACCAGCCTCCAAAGAGAACTATTCCCTGTCTCCAAGCAGCCCTGCTCGCAACAACAGCACTACTGAAGAAACAGCCAAATATGTGCAAGACAGTCTGGATAGATGGCAGGTGCTTGGTGGGGAAGATGTCCTCAGAAAAACTGGGAAGATAGAGGGTCAGGGCCTAGGACGGTCCAAGGAGGATGGGGAAAGCAACAGCACATCTAGGAAGAGGAGCCATGCCCCAGGACATAGGGAGGGACTGGCTCTGAACAATTCCAGCCCCTTGACACCAAAGGCTGACAAGCTGGACTACGACGAGTACGGTGACACGGAGCAGACCATGGAGGATTTTGACATCTATGGTGAAGAGGAGCACGACCCACGCTCCTTCCAGGGGGAGGTACGGCAATACTTCATTGCAGCGGTGGAGGTGATGTGGGAATACAGGAACCAGAGACCCCAGCACTTCCTAAAAGCCATGTAAGTGTCACTGTCCCTCATGTATTCCTCCTGCACTGTGTGGCATGACTTGATGCATGAGTTGGTATGTCCTGGCAGGCGGGATCACAGGTCTATGACTGTACAACCCAGTCAAGCAGCCCAGGGGAAGGGTGCTCCCAGCACCTCCCCTCCACCTGGGGAGTTTTGTAATGCCAGCAACAGCTTCCTTGCAAGTGGGTCAGGGATGCTCTAGGCTCTGCATCGCCCCTGCTCTGCAGCAGCCCTGCCATGGCTGTCCTCCCTATAGGACAGTATCACCTGACTTGCTTAACTGCCCTCACCCCAGCAGGGACCCCTGGAGCGGCAGAAGGAAGCCTTTCCGGCAGTACCGCAAGGTGGTTTTCCGAGAGTACATGGATGATTCCTTCACACAGCCCCTGCTGCGGGGAGAGCTGGACGAGCACTTGGGCATCCTTGGGCCATACATCAGGGCAGAAGTTGAAGATGTCATCATGGTGAATTGAAAGTTCCCATTTCCTATAAAACCTGAAATCCCCCCATTGCTGGCTGTGCTCAGCCAGAGGGAGTGCTGAGGTGGGCCTGCAGGCTCTGCGATGCTTGTGGGTTCGCCTTCAGGACTCAGGGGCAGGGGCTGCCCCATTGGCGCCCTGCGTGGCATGTGGATGGCACCAGGTTGGGAGGCAGAGCCACCATTCAGAGGGACCTCAGTGGCTGGAGGAATGGGCCAGCAGGAACCTCAGAGCATTCAGATGCAATGCCCTGGACCTGAGACAGACCCAACCCCTGTAACAGCACAGCCTGAGCAGCTCCTGGGCTTCATGGGGAGCCTTTTGGGTGAAGGGATTGTAAAAAGGGTAATGAGCTAAGCAGGGTTCAGTACAGCTTCTTTGGGTGCTCTATGTGAGGGCAGGCTCGGGCTTCCCTCACCACCTAAGGAAGAGGTGAAAAGCTCTTCACCAAGCTCAGGACTCGTATGCCTGGAGAAGTTGTCCAATTTTCACTGAAATCTTCAGCAAAAACCTTTGGGCTCCAGAGACAGTAGTGTAGCTGACCTTGCCACCATTGAGCAGGGAGAGGGCCTCATCCTGCTGACATGACTGGGATGCACTTTCCACTGGGGATCACACTGCACAGCCACAGCTTGTGGTTCAGCACGGGTTGGCCCCTGCATGGGGCCCAG